GGAGGACTATGACTAAGGGGTCCTTGGTGCTCTCTGAGCTTGTTTTCTTGCAGACATTTCATGACCCAACTAGGTAACTTCATCAGTGCTAGAAGAGAGGGGGGCTGTGGAGAGGAGGAGGAGGAGGAGGAGGAGGAGGAGGAGGAGGACGACGACGACGACGATGACTGTGGGGTCCTGGGTGGTCTCTGAGCTGGGTAGTTTTCTTGCAGACATTTCATGACCCAACTAGGTAGCATCATCGGTGCTAGAAGAGAGGAGGGTGTGTGGATTGGAGGAGGAGGAGGACGACTGTGGGGTCCTTGGTGCTCTCTGAACTGGGTGGTTTTCTTGCAGACATTTCATGACCCAACTAGGTGACATCATCAGTGCTAGGAGGAGGAGGAGGAGGAGGAGGAGGAGAATGACTGTGGGGTCTTTGGTGTTCTCTGAGCTGGGTGGTTTTCTTGCAGACATTTCATGACCCAACTAGGTAGCATCATCAGTGCTAGAAGAGAGGAGGGTGTGTGGATTGCAGAAGGGGGAGGAGAAGGAGTGTGGGATCCTTAGTGGTCTCTGAGCTTTATTGTTTTCCTGCAGACGTTTCATGACCCGACTAGGCAACATTGTCAGTGCTAGAAGAGAGGGGGTTTAGGGAGAGGAGGAGGAGGAGGAGGAACTTCGTTGTTTTCTAGCAGACATTTCGTGAGAAAACTAGGTAACATCATCAGTGCTAGATGAGAGGGGTGTTTGGATTGGAGGAGGAGGAGGGGAAAGATGATTATGGGGTCCTGGGTGCTCTCTGAACTGGGTGGTTTTCTTGCAGACGTTTCATGACCCAACTAGGTAACATTGTCAGCGCTGGAAGAGAGTGGGGGGTTTGCTCTGTCTTTATGTACAAATAACTTTTCTTACCAACATTCGTAAGGATATGTTTTTCTCTTTTGTAGTTCCTTGATTAGGGAACTATCTAATTAGGGAACTTTTAGCCGTGGAGTTCTTGGTCCTCTCTGAACTTGCTTGTTTTCTTGCAAACGTTTCATTACCAAACTAGGTAACATCATCAGTGCTGGAAGAAAGTAGATTTGCTCTGTTTACATATAGTAAAGCATAGGTGAGGGTATTGATCTCGTCTTGGTATTCCCATGATTAGGCTGATGTTTACTGTTCTGAATTGATAATTTCTTGATGGAGGCACTGCTTATTACTCGATTGGTGGTCTAGTATTAACCGTGGTGTCAATCTCTGCTTATCTGTCTGTTGAATACTGATGACGTTACCTAGCTGGGTCATGAAACGTCTGCCAGAAAACAGCCAATAAAGGAGAATATGTGCGGCTTAAGGTTGAAATGAAGGGTCCCCCGGTTCTCTCCGAGCTCGGTTGTTTCCTCGGCAGACGTTTCGTGACCCAAACGAGGGAGCAGCCCTGATGACGTTACCTAGTCGGGCGATGAAACGTCTGCCAGGAAAACAACCAAGCTCGGTGAGCGCTAAGGACCCCACGCTTAATCCCTCCATTGGAGAAACTTGCCTTTAGCCTAGGTTTATTGTGCTGCAAAAAGTCTTCAGGGTTAATGCTCAAAAAGTCGATTTCTCGTTTCATTTTTTTAAAGAGCGGCAAGGAAGGGAAGCAGACAGCGTTATAATCCTGCAGACTAATTTGCAGAGAGAGCTGTTATTCAGAAATGCTGCGGAAACTCTTTGACTGAGTTGCAACGATGACCGAGGCAACTCTGTGCATCCTCAGAGACTCCTCGTTTAGTGACAAAACCCGAACCTGAAGTAGAAAAGCTAACGGAGCCACGGTGGAAGAGCTTACCTGTTCTCAGGTGCGTTGGTGAGCGAGGCCACGATGTTTTGCTCGATGAAGAAAAGCATGGAGAGCAGGAAGCCCAGACCCATCGCGCTCATGACCGGGCCCAGGTGGAGATCTTTGAAGGGGGCCAAGACGAACAAGCTCTCCGACTGATTGTAGTTAAATTTGGACACTGGGAAAACGAGGGAAAGTCAACAGGCTCGAGATAAACGGGTGGACGCTCCATCCCTGGAGATCTTCGAGGAGAGACTGGAGAGCCATTGGCCCGGGATGGTAAGGTTAAGGGGGGGGGGTCCAGCCTTGGCAACTTTTAAGACAACTTGTGGACTTCAACTCCCAGAATTCCCCAGCCAGCCCTTTCCTCCCTTCCTTCCTGGCTTCGGGATTCTGGGAATCCAAGTCCACAAGTTTTAAAGGAGGGCCAATCACCAGGAGGTGAAGAGTTCTAGTCCCGCCTTAAGGCACGAAAGCCGGCTTCGGGACTTGGGGCCAATCACCAGGAGACGGTGAGTTCTAGTTTTATCTCTGACCTGAAAGCTGGCTGGGTGACTGTGGGCCAATCACCAGGAGATGGTGAGTTCTAGTTTTATCTTTGACCTGAAAGCCGGCTGGGTGACTGTGGGCCAATCACCAGGAGATGGTGAGTTCTAGTTCTATCTTTGACATGACAGCCAGCTGGGTGACTGTGGGCCAAACACCAGGAGACGGTGAGTTCTAGTTCTATCTCTGACCTGAAAGCCGGCTGGGTGAATGTGGGCCAATCACCAGGAGACGGTGAGTTCTAGTTCTATCTTTGACCTGAAAGCCAGCTGGGTGACTGTGGGCCAAACACCAGGAGACGGTGAGTTCTAGTTCTATCTTTGACATGACAGCCGGCTGGGTGAATGTGGGCCAATCACCAGGAGATGGTGAGTTCTAGTTCTATCTTTGACATGAAATCCAGCTGGGTGACTGTGGGCCAAACACCAGGAGACGGTGAGTTCTAGTTCTATCTTTGACATGAAATCCAGCTGGGTGACTGTGGGCCAATCACCAGGAGATGGTGAGTTCTAGTTCTATCTTTGACATGACAGCCGGCTGGGTGAATGTGGGATAATCACCAGGAGATGGTGAGTTCTAGTTCTATCTTTGACATGAAATCCAGCTGGGTGACTGTGGGCCAATCACCAGGAGATGGTGAGTTCTAGTTCTATCTTTGACATGAAAGCCGGCTGGGTGAATGTGGGATAATCACCAGGTGATGGTGAATTGTAGTCCTACCTTAGGCTTGAAAGCCAGCTAGGTGACTTTCACTCCATCACCAGGTGACAGTGAGTTCTAGTCCTGTTTAGGCGGAAAGCCAGCTGCGTAACTTCGGGCCAGTCCCTCTCTCTCAGCCCAACCAAAATAGCAACTATTAGGTATCTTCAGCACTTTTTGAGTTATTTATAAATAATAATAAAGGCGGGATACAAATAAAATAAGATAAAAAATAAAATAAACAGGCGTAGA